GACCCAGTGGCAGCAAAAGAACTGCAATTAGTTTCAAGTCAGGACATTGCAGCTTGAAGGGGAACGTGCAGCTGGAAGCATTTCCAGACATCTGCTGCCTTTGTCCTTTGGAGGTGGCTTAGGTCACAGGTTTGGAAGATGTGGTTAAAGGAGTTTTGGCCACTCACTGCACAGCATTTTGTAGGATACAGTGGTAGATGGGTACCATTCATGCACATTCTTTTGCCTTGAATCATGTCAAGCTGCAAATTTTGTTGGAGCTGTACTCATCTAGGCAAGTACTACATATTCCATCATACTCAAGTTGTATCTTGTAGATGAAAAAGGTTTTTGAGTCAAGGAAGGAGTTCTGCATCTCAAAATTCCTAGCTTCTTGTATTGCTCTTGCGGCCATAGTATTAATATGGCTGGTCCAGTTCAGTTCCTGGTCAAATGATAATCCTACAAGTAGGATTCAGTACTGGTAAAACCATTGAATGTCATGAATATGGCTCTCTGAAGATGATCTTTGCCTTGCACTTCTGCTATAAAAAAGTTACTAGCCACGTATCGCATAAGACTGCATATCAACATGGACTGCTGCAGTATTTTTTGAATCATTAATGGTGCTTCTAATCTTCTGAATAGAAGACAGACCCAGAGGTGAGCAGTTGGAAGCGAGTGTAGTGAGGAACTCCGGCACAAATCACCTTGTATGCTAGGCATGACTCCAGTAAGTGGAGTATCTCCTCTTCTCCCACCCCACCCATTATCTTTAGGTTTGTCAGAGCACCTTGATTACCAGAGTCTGTAACATGCTGCCTCGATGTTAAAGGCAAACACTCTCACCCCAACACTAGAATTTAGTTCTTTTGTCCATGCTTGGACTAAGTATCATGAAGTCTGTGCTGAGTGGTCCTGGCAGAACCCAAACTAAGCAAAGGAGGTAGTTGTTATTCAACAAGTGTTGTTTTATAGCACTGTCAATGATCCGGTTCCATTACCTAGAAGGTACATTGACAGGGCAGTAGTGGGCAGTGTTGAGTTTGCCCAGATTTTTGTAGATAGTATCCACAATCAATTTTCCACACATTGTTGAGTAGATGTCAGTAGCTATTCTTCAGAAAAGGTTTATTCCCCTATACATTTAAAATAGGCACCAAGGACAAGATAGCTCATACAAAAATTAAATTAAATTTCACAGATGCCTCAATTATTCAGTAGCTGTGAATTGGTTGGTTTGGTAATCCTCTACTGAAACAAAGTGGCTTTTACATTTAACTGATATCAGTTCTGACAGAAGGACAGACGTGATTACATTACTGTCCGAGCTGGGAAAACAGCAAGGAGGGTAAAAAGTTGTACCTGCCTGGCAATATAATCCATATTGTAAACTTCAGAGAAGTTCGAGCACTGTAGGATTGGGAGGCCTGAACAAACAGTCCACTAACTCCCAACATGAAGGCTCTTGTTTAAAGAAGGACTGTTTTGATGTTTCTGCCTAGCCAGCAAATGACTAACATTTGCACATTCTCTCCCTCACCCCATGTGAAAAACATGCTAGCACCTTTTGCATTTACCTTGGCGTCTCTGTCGGTGAGTGGGCACTTGTGGAGGTTCTCTTGTCTCAATATTGGTGACTAAGAAAGGCTGATTGATTTCTTGATCAGGTGGTCTTGCTGTTGGTGGTCGCAAATCACACTGATCCTGGTAACAGAGGGGAGTAGGAAAGTTACTGCCACTATGTTCATGTATAATCAAAGGCAGACAGCACTTTCTCAGAAAGTCAAGTTTTGGTTTATTCATGCTTATATTCAAGATTTTAAGCTAGGCTGATTATGGGTTTGAAATAAAACTGCTAGTTCTAAAAAAGTGTGCCTTCAATATGGGTTCATTCACACCACCCAAAACACCAACCATAAATTTAAGCAATATGGGAATGTTGTACCATAGCTGCTAGCTGAAGAGGAGATACTGACTTGGATTTATGTTGCTGCCAGTGACAGAACCTATTCAAGGTTGAAGTGGTCTGGCTGGTAGCACAAGTTTATGAAATAAGAACTTGAGCACTTCTGACAACAAGAAAGGAGAGTACTTGCAATCTCTCAATACTGCCACAGTCAATACACAAATGCCATACCAGGAAAAAAACCCACGAGGATGCGACTCAAACCCCTTCTCCGATTCTATCACACATTCACTTTTATGATGAACATATACTTGAGATATATTACAAAATTGTTTCAAATTACACAGCAATATCTTGCAACCTATTAAACAGATGATTTAGAACCTTGCACACTGCTGGCTAGAATATTTAAAACATGGTGTGCATGGGAATAACAAGATTTTTCTCACAAGAGGTACATGCTTCTGGTGAATGAAGCTCAATACTCAGTCAATATTAATAATTTCTTGCCCTGCAATACAGTTTTTTTAAAATAATTTTTTTTACCTGATGATGATATAGCATATCTTCCTCTAATGCGACACCACAGAACTCACACGGAATCATGACGTCTCCATCACTGGAACCCACGAATGGACTATATGATGGCAGTGTGAAGTCTTCTGAAAATAATTCAGGATTCGCATGCTGACGATGGGAGAAAATATCATTCGTCCTGGGAATGGAGACCCTTTGTAATGGTGGTATAAGTGTGGTACTTTTACTGAATGATGCAAAGGCACTTACTGGGTTACAGCCAGTCTGTTTAAAACAAAAATCATACATCAACTGCTTCACAAAAAAAGGAAGGAAAAAAAAAAATCAAGTGTCAATGTAAAAGTTTCTCAAATCAGACTTCATTTGCTCACAATTGTAACTGATTTTCTTTTTAAAATAGTTGTTCTTGTCCAAATGGCCTTCAGAATGACTCAAGTGTCTACACTATCCTATGTAAAATTCATTCTCTTACCATCTCAAGCAATACACACCTAATGTGAATTTTTCTGTAAATTTATTCACTCGTGGGTTGTGGGCATGTCTAGCTAGGCCAGTATTTATTACCCATTCTTAACTGCCCAGAAGGCAGTTAAGAGTCAACCACATTGCTGTGGGTCTGGAGTCATGTGTAGGGCAGACAAGGCAAGGATGACAGATTTCCTTCCCTAAAAGGACTTAGTGAACCAGATGGGTTTTTCAACAATCGACAGTTGTTTTATGGTTATCATTAGACTCTTAATTACAGATTCTTCAGTGAATTCAAATTCCATTATCTGCCATGGCAGGATTCAAAGCCATGTCCCAGGAATGTGGGCCAAGTTTCTCGATTAATAGTCTAATGATAATATCACTAGGCCATTGTCTCCCAGTCTTCAACTTTGACCTTGCTCGCAATCCTTAATTTACATCATTACACAAACAACTTGTATTTATATAGCATTTTTAATATTGCAAAATGACTCAAAACGCATTGTTTGATTATGCAAAGTAAAGCAGACAGCAGGCCAAAGAAGAATTTAGGAGGGGTGACATTAAAAAAAAAAAAAAAAACTATCAAAGTGATTAATTTTAAGCAACATTAAATGAAAAAGGAGTTGGAGAGGTAATGCAATCGTGAAGCCTTGGCAAATTGAGACAAGCCTGACAGTGATGAAGTAAAGACTGGAGAAAGCACAAGAGATCAGATACAGAGGTAGGGAGGATTGTTGTTTGGTAGTTTTAGGACAGAAAAGATTAGTTGAAGAGCGGTAAGAACAGGGGGAAGAGACTTAAACATGAACACCACAAATTGTAAATTAGAAGCACTAGGAGACCAGGAGATTAGTGAGGACGTGAGAATAATAAGTGCACAGCACTTCTTGCAGTCAAGGATTAAGGAAACAAAGTTTCCAGGTGGAGAAGAGTGAAAGATTGGCCAGCAAGACATGGTAGTGTGGAGATGATAAAACCATGCACGAGGGTTTTGTCTGCCAACAGGAAGGTGGAGGATTTAACGTGAATCAAACAAAGCGTTATCTGTGGAGAGGTCACAACTTAGATTTGAAGAGAACGCAAATACTGTAACAAGTGTATTTTAACTTGAGATAATAACCAGGGAGAAGGATGGAATCAGTGTCATGGGACAGTTTTGCAATGAGGGTTAAAGCTGGTGATTTCAATTTTCCCAATGTTTACCTGAAGCAAACTTACAGCCCACCCAAGATTAAGCCAGTAGACACACTGTATGACAAAGACACAAAGGGGTTAAAGGTTTGAATGAAAGGGGAAAGCAAGATGTCACCTGTGACAGTTGCTACAGAACAGCATACAGATATACAGATAAAAAGGAGGGACCAAGTATTGTTCCACAAGGGATCTTCCTGACTTCCTGAAGGCTTCCTTCAAGAAATACAACAGATGTCAATGCATGACACACCCTCATTCACAGGAATGAACTTGGAGGAATCTCCAGTATGAAGGGACACAATTCTTCGAGAATACTCGTCGGCAGGAGAAAGAAATGCCAACCATCTCAAGGACCAATTCCACTTTCTCGAAACACCTGCCAATTCTCTGCAGTCAAAGATACAGCTCTAGATTGGGCTCATCAGCCATACAAGGACACAGAAAATTCTGCGACACTGGTCATGGATTCTAGGTGGACAAATTTATTAGAGTGACTGCTGATGATTCTTCTGTTCTCCGCTTATCCAGTTCCCCCTTAAATACGTGTAGGCTACTTGCTTCAAGTGTTCCATGCAGTGTGACCTTTCACATTCTTACCACTCTTCAGGTAAAGCAGCATCTTCTACATTCTTTTTTGGATTTATTAGTTGGGTTATACTTGTATTTATAATTGCTAATTTTCAATCCCATACAGGCAATGTTTGCCAAGCTGCACTACCTGAAAATTCCCAAGCCAACCAAGCACAAGACAGATCTACACAGTTACTTCCATGCTAAAATCCATGCACATAACTGAATGGGTCACACATGAAAAGAAATCAGATTGGGGTGTTGTTTACAGGTGTCAATATTTTTTTCCTTTGGTCTATGCTATCACAATCAAGGTCATAGCAACATCATTTTACACCACTTTGTTAAGGATGTAAAGAACACGGAGAGGATGGAACAGAGACGAAACTAAGTCATGGTATTCTCCTTGGATTGCTCAAACAGGTATAAAATAATTTGAATTTTCCTTCCCTCTTCACTTTAATAGAATTTGTCTCTCACCAATAACTGAACAAAATAGGACAAACTTGGGTTGAACCTTGTTCAATGAAACTCAGCAAAACTACCTCACTTTCAAGGAACATTCTTCTCAGATAACAGAACAAACATTTTTCCCATCTCACTATTTGACCTTGGTGGTCAACTGATAAACTTGATAGGTCGTTGCCTTCATAGACAGCTATTAAAAAGTCTAAGTTCTATACAACTTAACAAATGAAGAAAAAATGCCATGCTAGCAAATCAAGAAAGATAGGATAAAACATACTGATGAACATTAGCTATTCATTAATTTTGATAATCAAATCACTGGAGAAAATGCCATCAGAAATACTTTAATCAGATTTACTAAAGGTTCATAGAATCATTCCTGATTGTTAGGATGGACACTCAAAAACAAACCTGGTGAATAATTAATTCTTCTTCAGGGAACAGTTCTTCACAGAACTCACAAGGTAACATTGTGACATCTTCTAAAAGAGGGAAAAAAATGTTTAATTGGCAAACAAACTTAAAATTACTTTCAAGGAGACTGATGAAACATTACCATAACTCATCTATTTCCTATTTAATTCAGGTTTAAATTCAGAATGACAGATGTAAACCAGAGTATGACTATAAATTACAATCGCTCATTAACTTAGAGGCAAAATGTGGTAAACTTTACATTTTCCCCTCAGCCAATTAGCGAGATTGACAATTATCACATCTATCATGAAACATTGAGAATAAAAAGTACTCAGCTTAATTTAAACTGGAGAACAATTTGCAGAATGTGTTAATGAACATCAAAAAAAATCATGTTAATGGAGGCATCCAATTCTATGCCCTCTGAAATCAAAAAAGATGGCAATTCAGAATTCAAGGCCTGTCTGTGCCAGGTGGTGTACTCAAAATTCCAGCATCTGCCATCGAATCCAAAGTTAATCAATTTCCACTGTTTGGTCATCCAATATTAAGAACATAAATAAATGTTTCATGCATGTATCCAACACAGAACAGTGCAATTCAACACACCAAAGATTACCATTACTAAAACTGTTGCAAACCTTTTCTTCTTGAGACTACTGGTCACAATAATAAGTATTGCACAGTGGTTCCATCTTCTACAGCAAGTGGTTAATTGAAGACCATGGTGATATTTAAGCACAAAGCTCTCCCAAAAGAGAGACTTATGAAAGGTGTGCTCATCCAGGTTCATGAGGAAGGCTGGATACATGAAAACAATTGCAACAATAGTAATATGGAATTTGGGATTGGGGGATTACGCAAAGAAAAAGCTTATTCATCAACATGTTCAAATCCCATCTTGTTGTTATTTAATTCTTGATGCAAAATTAACCAATACGGCATTATTCACATCTTACAAGTGCTAGTTGGCCCTTGTTGTGTGCATAAATAAACCTCTGAAGGATAATATCCAAAATATGTACAACAACTGAATGTTGGAAAGCAAAAAAAAAAAAAAAAAAAAGGACAGCAAATGTGGTATCTACCAACCTCCAGAACACAAGAAACGTACAGGTCACTTGCAATCAGGACTATTTCCCCAAGTTATCATCAAGCAAACATTTCTAATAAGGCCAAGCGCATGTGGAATTAAAATGGTCAGATCTGCTTGGTAAATGTACTGAAAATGACCCCAAAGTTTAATAAAGTTCAAATTCTAAAAAATCTGGGGAAACTCAAGGACCAGACAGGGAAACTGAGGACACTCAGTCAATTCCCAAAATCTGTGGCACATCTTAGTTTGGAATAGGAAGTTCAGAAACCCTAAAGGCACTATAAAGTATAGATGAATTCTTGGGATGAAATAAATTAGAACAAGCAGTGTCTCATGGAGATTTTCAGGTTTAAATAAGATTTGCCAAATATAGCACAAGTTGCTTTAACTTGCTTGGCAGTTAACTGTCAAACTTAAAAGAGTGCATTCACCATGACGATGCCTCCATCAATAGCAGTTCATTTCCCAGCCATTCAGCACTTTCCTCTCACGTAGTGTAGATCTTGGTTTTCCCTTCAATTGCAGAATGTCCTGATGAGTGCATGGAGAAGCTTGAACAAAATGCCTTTTTTCAGCAATGACCCATCATTAACAGGCAATCCCTTATTGTGTCAAATAGCGTGGCCTAATCGGCGAGTTTGTTCAGCGTGGCCTAATCGGCGAGTTTATTCAGCGTGAACTGATGACATGAGCAACATCTTCCAGTGTCACTCTAATTAGTTTGAGAAACTCTCTTCCTAATCGGCTGACCTCAAACCCATCAGTTACTAATCAACTTCCAATCTGAACATGAAGTCCCACATTATCTGTAATCAGCGGAAAAATTCTGTATGCATATTTACAACTTAATTTGAAGGTGAAAAGGAGTTGTGTTTATCCTTCTTTGTTTAATTAAAAGCACAAAACAAAATATGCAATTTACCTATTCTCTAGTGGATAAAACCAAACGGGAGATATAGCTGGCATTAACTCAAATCCAGCTTAGGTAGAGTATCTCATTTGATTAAGAGTCGTAAGATTACAGATAAAATTATCTACACACAGTGTTGCATCTTTGTAACAGCATATGACAAAAAGTACATGAAGCAAAAAGTAGTAAATCTGGAAAATTAAAGATTTGAAATTATCATGAACCAGAAACTCAAATGGGACTTACTAGTGAGCAGAAAAATCAACTGGACTTACCATGTAAACAGTGACTTCAAAGAACAGGCAGAAGCTAGGGTTTTCGCGACAAGTAATTCACTTCCTGACTCTCTAAAGCCGGTCCACCATCTACAATGCACACGTTAGGAATGTGATAGAACACTCCTCACTTGACTTGATGGATGCAGCTCCAACAACACAAGAAGCTTGACACTATCCAGGAGAAAGATTGGCACCACATCCACAAGCATCTGCTTCATCACTAACATTCAGTAGCAGCACTGTGTACCACCTACAAGAAGCACTGCAGAAATTCAAAAACCCTTAAAACAGCACCTTCCAAACACATGACCACTTCCATCTAGAAGGGTAAAGGCAGCAGATATGCGGGAACACCACCTGCAAGTTCTACCCCAAGCCACTCACCATCCTGACTTCGAAACATCATCTGTTGCTGGGTCAAAATCCTGGAATTCCCTCCCCAAGGCAGTACTTTGACTGTAGCAGTTCAAGGCAGCAATTCACCACCCTCAAGGGCAACAACGAATGGTCAATGAATGTTGGTCAGCCAGTGACACCCACATCCCAAGAATGACTAAAGAAAGTATTGATGTAATAATTTCAATGAGAACTGCTGCAGTTAATTTGTTATGGTATATACTTTGTTAGATGAAATGTACATAGTTTGCCATGTCAAACTAAACCTTTGAGAATGATTTAGTGTTGTTGGTTTCCAATTTACTACAGAGAGTTTTTTTTGGGCCCAAGACTAGGGTAGATGCCAATCCTTCAAAAACATCACCCACGTAAAAGTTTAGCAAGACTTTTGACCCAAATAACAGTCTCAAAAGTTTTACTTTTGCATCATTTGTGCATTACTAGAAAAACCTTCAGCAATTTTAGTCAATACAGGAAGAGTTATTTTGGGAAAAAGTTATGATCTACAAAGTAGAAAGGGGCCACAGGAATACCAAACATCTACCCAAATCAGCTTCAACATTTCAATGCTGATGCTAGGTGACCAAGCAGGACTTGTTCCATCAGAAATTAAACACTAATGGATAAGAAACAAAATTCAAACAAAATGTAAAGCAATTCTCCATAGATTTCACAGGGAAACTAGCAGGAATTCAATAAAGTGGAAATTCAAGGTTTTCCCCAGTGACTCAATCCACGGTTAATTCTGTAGCGACTCATCTAGCCACGAAAATGAGTGAGTCACACAACTAGAATTACCCATGAATAAATGCCCACTGCAACACTCAAAATATGTGGGGGCAAAGGGTGAATTTGGCTTTTGAAATTGGCCAAATTGCCAAGGAAAATTTGATTATAGGGACAACCAATCAGGCGAAAGTCACCTCTGCAGCTGGAGCTAGGATCTGTGAGCACATCAGCAGCAACTGTGGTAGAGAACAGTTGGAGATGGATGGAGGGGGTGGGAAGAAGGGACTGCAAAGGGATTTGAAGAAGAACTGCAAAGTGGGCAGGGGGAAAAGATACTGCCAAGACAGGAACAGTTTTAAACCTTTCAAAAAGTAGTGTTACCATAAACATTAATTTTGAATTAAGCACTGTCAATTGGATAATCGAATACTGAACAGTTTTGGATCATAAAGATTTATATTTATGTTGAGCTTTCATATCTTAAAAGCATGTCATACTGAAAATAACAAAGTGCAGACTCTACATTAGGGACAATCAATCAATCAATCAATCATGCAATTGTTTAGCTGTGACCTCACCAGTTTACAGAACACGTTATGGTAGCTTTTTGTGCATTACTATGTCAGTTTTTTTAATATATATTTGTTACTCATATATGCCAATTATCTTGTGCCACTTTAAATAGTGCAGTGCTTCAAAGTAACGCTTTCATACATTGCGGCTTTTAGTTAAGTACAGCAGCAACAACTGAGTATATTCTTAAATTCTACTAATTCTGCTACTGTGCATGTCCAAATATGTCAAATACGAATAGGTAAGGTAATATTATAAGATTATAAGAGCTCATCACTTAATAAAGATGTTGGTGTGAATGAAAAATGGAGACCTGAAATCCAAACAGTAACCCCCAAGTAAAGCCCAGAGGAGCTTACAGAAGAAAACAAAATGATATTTTGACCTTTGGTCCAATGTTCAAGCTGTCTATTTAAGATAGCAGTTACATATGGCTCAAATCATTTCACAATTAGAAAGTTGCTAGCTCCTGTTTCAGACAACAACCCAGCCATTCTTGTTGAACATACACAAGAACAAGGAACCACAGACAAATGAAGTAGTCTATCCAAAATTTCAAACTTTCCACATAAACATTAATTTGTACAACATACCATGGGAACTATTACCTTGCAAGCTGTAGTTAGTTTTATTGACGAGCTTAATGATGAATCACTACAGCAAGTAAAAAAAAAAATCAGCATGTCAGTACCATCTCATCTGATGCCAGTGAGAAAAATAAAAGAACGCATGGAGAGTCAGATTTCCGACCACAGGTTTGACACTGTCAGTCAGTAAGCTTGAAACTGGAAGCTAAATTTGCAGGAGGTAATTATTCCACCCCACCCCTACCCAACCTACACACCCCCCGCCCCCGAGAAATAGTTTGAAAGAAAAGGTGACAGATAAAATATAGGACCAGTGTTGTTTATTACTTTTCAAACGAAAGATAAACCAAGTCAATCAGAATTTATTCTGTAAATTTTTATGCTTACTTCCTCTCCACAAGTGAAGGCAGGCTAATAATTCATATCTGACCTTACCTCACCAAGTGTGCCAGTCTGCCTCTGAAAAGAGTGACAAAGTACACATGAAAAAGACTGGGTACTCAATCTGGACGGCAAATAGGTATTATCCTAACACCCCTAAGGTGTACTATTACATTAGCTAGATACTGTACTTTACGATCACACTTCTAAACAGAATATGCACTGATTAGTTAATGCCAGACACTTCTTCATAACCACTTACTTTTTACTTCTTCATGGGCATTTACAGAAGTTGGGAGTATATCAGATGGCGACTGATTGTTGAGCATGCCCATAATATTTTGTCGCCCCGGGCATTTGTAATCGGAGAGAGTATCCTCCCATAACGGTAGCCACTCTCCTCCATCAGTGTTTTCATTTTGGAGACTGAGAGCAAGCAAGTAATCCAGGTTAGAGTTGGCATCCACTTGCCCTGGACTTGCAGCATCTGTCAAATTATTTCTGTCGGTCCTCACTAGGCTGGCTGCAAAACCAACAGGAAATATGAGTGTTAAAATCACAATTCAAAGATTTAATCAGAATTAGGTTAGCTGATTTCAACCAAGAAAACAGCATGGATTGACCACAGTGGGATTCATCTCAATACTGTGAATGTTGGAACAAAGACAGAATCAGATTTAGCAATGTCCCCACCCACAGAATATAATTTCAATCCACCTCAGATTTCCATTATAGCAAGGGACTAATATGAATTTAACTTTAGCCTTAAACCAATTAATCAATTCAGCAAAGATAAAATAAATTAGGCATTGAATACTTTCCTCCTTCATAAGTTAGTCCTTGAACAATGCTAGAAAAGAAAGCGTAATGACAGATATTACTACAGATTACTCTAATTTGTAGGCCACAGTTTCGGAATATTCAATTTCCGGAACTGTCACAGGAATCAGCTTGCAAAAAGACCTTTTGATCCAACTAGTCCACACCAACCACGCTCCCAAATCAAACTAGTCCCATTTGCCAGTGTTTGGCCCATATCTGTTTAAACCTTTCCTATTCATGTACTGATCCAAGTTTTTTTTTAAAATGTTCTAACTGTACCTGCATTCATCATTTCCTCTAGCAGTTCATTGCACACATTGACCACAACATAAATTTGTCCCTCAGATCCTTTTTTTAAAAAAACCTTCCTCCTCTCATCTTAAAAACACACCCCTAGTTTTGAACTCCCCCACCCTAGGGAAGAGAGACTTGCTATTCACCTTTTTTATACTCCTCATAATTTTATAAACCCCTGTAAAAGGTCACCCCTCAACACCCTACACTCTAGTGAAAAGTCCCAGCCTATCTTTATAACTCAAACCTTCCATTCCTGACAACATCCTGGTAAATCTTTTCTGAACCCTCTCCAATTTAATAATATCCTTCCGAGAGCAGGATGACCAAAACTGGATGCAGTACTCCAAAAGAGGCCTCACCAACATTCCCTACAACCTCAACAAGACATCCCAGCTTCTAACCTCAATGGTCTGAGCAATGAAGGCAAGTGTGCTGAAACCTTCTTGACCACTGTTTACATGTGACAACTTTCAAAGTATGTACCTGAACCCCTAGGGGTCTCTGCCCTACAACACAACACAGGGCTCTAACATTAATTGTCAAGAGTCCTGCCCTTGTTTCTTTTACCAAAATACAATACACTGCATTTATCCAAATTAAAATTCCATCTGATCATGTACTCTTTGCAATTTTAGATAACCTTCTTCACTATCCATTATACCACCAAATTTAGTGCCATCCACAAACTTACTAACCATATCTCCTAAATTCTCATCCAAATCATTTATATAAGCCAGATTGGCTCTTTTCTTAGCAATGAAATGTTTCACTTCAGCCTGTATTTTTCTGTCTTCCATTAGAAGGTTGAAGATTTACAGACTGCAGAATACCACTGTTGCAAATCCACATGACTTATACACACATTTTCTATACCATTCAAATAGGTGGTAGGATTGGTGCTACTCAACAGTTACCACTTGCGTAAAGATATACAGGGCAGAGTTTTTAGTATACTTAGCACAGTGTACCATCTGCAATACCAGAAACATCCTTAAATTGTTAAGTCTACCAAGATCAATGTACACACTTCTCCATTTGTTTAATTCCACCACTCAGCAAAGTTGCAGAATCTCTCATGCAAACATTGAAGTATCAATGCAGCTACGAGTAAGCCAACAACTGTTGCACCTGTGCAATCCTGTACCACAAATTCTACTACTTAGCTACTTCTAGCTCCTCCCGCAGCTTCAAGCTCAAATTGTTGACTATTTCCAATTCAAAATATTCACTGCTTACCTTGATTCTGGTTTCTACCTGTGGTCAGTAGATTTCTCCTATCTGACCCCCTCACTGAAAATCCTGCTTCTCTGTTCCCATGAACTTTGGCTTCCAACTGTCTAGAAATTCTTGGCCTGGCCCTAACACGGTTCTCCTCAGCCCGATGAACGATCCCAAATGGTTGATTTTCAAACCAAGTCCCAACATCATCTTCAAAGCGATATTCAGATCTAGGTTTGATACGGTTGTTATTCTTTTCTTCAACATCTTTGCCACAGGAGATGTGGTGCACGTTTATGTCTTTGACCAGAACATTGCGACCACAAGCTGCACAAGGTTCAGTCCTCGATCCACAATAATCAGCATGTTCTCCGGATTTATTGAATGCCAGCTCCAGTTCACAGTACTGACACTTAACCAGCCGCAAGGGGCATTCCAAGTTCTACACAGCAAGGAGAAAGTGAATTAAAATTATCTTAAGACCACGCAATTTTTTTTTAAAAATAGCATTTAAGAGTCTCAATATCTAAGCTGCCAAGTGCGCTGCCCAGAATATAGAGGAGTTCTTTTGGTTATAGATTCGACTTCCTGGCTGGATTGAAGCTGCCGTCAGGGTGTTAACACATCAGTCAGGCTCCAATTGCTGTCCAGTGACTGCCATTGGAAAATCGCTTTACCAAGACAGCAACTGGCCTGTCCTTTATGGCCCTAGAATAACCCAACTACAATTGAGGCTTGCATAAGAGAAGCAATTTGTTTTTTCACCTTGGATTTCCCAATCCATGGAAAATCTACAGACAAATAGCAGAGTACATGGTTCCCTACTTGCAGCTACATAATCCAAGAAGTCAGAGGAACATTAGCCTTTTGAGGCAAGAGGAGTTAGACTACAGAAATGAGGAAGCATTATTTCAGTCACACAGTTGGTTTAGATTCCACTTGGAATAAAATGTTCAGGTTTGGGCAATTAGATCAAAGAGGAAATACTAGCCTTGGAGGGGTACACAGATTTATCAGAATGATATTGGGGTTTAAAGGGTTATGACGTACGGACAGCTGCATAAACATCATGTTCAAAGTATCAATCCAATTAGTTTATAATGTTACACATAGAGAAACCACTTTAAATGAATTCATCTATGACCCTTTCTCTAGTTGGGGAATTCAGGAATGTCGGCATAATCTGAAATCAGAAATAAGAAACCTGGAATTTTCTCCCCCAAAAACTTGGATCAATTGAAAAGTTCACTGATAACAATAATTTTTGTCAAGCAACCATACAGGCAGCAAAGCAAAAGACAGGGAAATACATTTAGGTAAAGACCAACTGTGATCTAATTCAATGTTAGAACAGTTAAGGGACTGATGAGCTTACTCTGCTTGCTATGTTATACCAACATCAGCATTTAACAGATGGGTAAAAGCTGCTGCATTAGGCAGACAAATTGGAAGATGAACAAAGACACACACCAACCTCATGTTTTTCCAACTTATTTTTTTCTACCTTCATGTTGCACTTACAGTTGACCTGAAATAAAGGAGATCAAATTAAGGCCTCAAATATTAGTGCTCATTACATGTTGGTTACTGTCTCTAAGTAGAATCGTCATGCATCTGAATTGTCAAAACATAAGGGGTTTGCACTGTGTCCTGGCTTAGTTGATCATATCCAGGAAGGCAAGAAGGATGCAACTATAAGTAGAATGCTCCAGACAAGAAATGGAAGCACCCAAAAGAATTCCATGAAGAAATCCTAATATTGATCATTATCCATGATGATAATTTGAAAATATGCAAACTGTGGATATAGATTGGCCTAAACCTAGAATTACAGCTCAATTAACAGTAGCACATCCTGGGCATGCATTCCTACGACATGTTAACATCCTTAGGTAGATAAACAAAAAAAAAACCAACAAGCAATTTGGGAAAACCTCCACTACTCTTGACCCATACAAAGCAAAAAAGTCAGGTTTGTGAAAAACTTGGTTAAATAGCTAAACTACCTTTAAGTGCCTTGAGATATGCCCAGGACAAACAAACCCATTTTTCTGTTAATATCGATATTAGAAATGACATGAATCATCTCCAACTGCACACCTCTAAATCTGAAAGAAATCTTTTGATTGATAAGTCTCCTGGCCCTGATGGAATGCATCCCAGGGTACTAAAAGAGATGGCGGGAGAAATAGCAGGTGCACTGGCGGTAATTTTCCAAAATTCGCTGGACTCTGGGGCAGTCCCAGCAGATTGGAAAACAGCAAATGTGACGCCACTGTTTAAAAAGGGAAGTAGACAAAAGATAGGGAATTATGGACCGGTTAGCTTAACCTCTGCAGTGGGGAAGATGCTGGAGTCTATTATCAAGGAAGAAATAGCAAGGCATCTTGATAGAAATTGTCCCGTTGGGCAGACGCAGCATGGGTTCATGAAGGGCAGGTCATGCTTGACAAATCTTTTGTAATTCTATGAAGACATTACGAGCAAGGTGGACAATGGGGACCCAGTGGATGTGGTGTACCTAGACTTCCAAAAGGCCTTCGAAAAGGTGCCGCACAAGAGGCTACTGCATAACATAAGGATGCATGGCATTAAGGGTAAAGTATTAGCATGGATAGAGGATTGGTTGACTAACAGGAAGCAAAGACTGGGGATAAATGAGTGCTATTCTAGCTGGCAGTCAGTGACTAGTGGTGTGCCTCAGGGATCGGTGTTGGGACCGCAATTATTTACAATTTATATAGATGACTTGGAGCTGGGGACCACGTGTAGGGTGTCAAAGTTTGCAGATGACACTAAGATGAGTGGCAAAGCAAAGTGTGCAGAGGACTGTGAAACTTTGCAGAGGAACGTTGACACATTGAGTGAGTGGGCAAAGGTCTGGCAGATGGAATACAATTTAAGTAAATGTGAAGTGATACATTTTGGTAGGAGTAATAGTAAAAAGGATTATTACTTGAATGGTAAAAAGTTGCAGCATGCTGCTATGCAGAGGGACCTGGGTGTCCTTGTGCATGAATCACAGAAGGTAGGTCTGCAGGTACAACAAGTAATTAGGAAGGCAAGTGGAATTTTGTCCTTCATTGCTAAAGGGATTGAAATAAAAAGCAGAGAGGTTATGTTGCAGCCGTACAAGGTGCTGGTGAGGCCACACCTAGAGTACTGTGTGCAGTTTTGGTCTCCTTACTTGAGAAAGGATGTACTGGCACTGAAGGGGGTGCAAAGGAGGTTCACTAGGTTGATTGCGGAGTTGAGAGGGTTGGCTTATGAGGAGAGACTGAGTAGATTGGGATTATATTCATTGGAATTCAGAAGATTGAGGGGGGATCTTATAGAAACATATAAAATTATGAAGGAAATTGATAAGATAGAAGTAGAGAGGATGTTTCCACTAGCAGGTGAAGCTAGGACAAGAGGGCATAACCTCAAGATTAGAGGGAGCAGATTTAGGACTGAACTGAGAAGGAATTTCTTCACCCAGAGGGTTGTTAATCTATGGAATTCCTTGCCCAGTGAAGTAGTTGACGCTACTTCAGTAAGTGCTTTTAAAAAAAAGGTAGATTTTTTTTGAACAATAAAGGAATTAAGGGATACAGTGAGAACGCAGGTAAGTGGATCTGAGTCCACGAAAGGATCAGCCATGATCTTATTGAATGGCGGAGCAGGCTCGAAGGGCCAGACGGCCTACTCCTGCTCCTAGTTCTTGTGTTCTTGTGTGTTCAGGCGTTCTTGTGTGTTCAGGCTGCTGCTGAATTCTAAGTGGTTCACATTAGTACTGGATACACCATTTTACAATAAACCACAATAATTTGCAAACTTGAAAATATCTCAACATAGGAAATAGACTCCAAGGACTCCATTACTATCACCCTTTATACTAATATAGCAATTAATCTGAAGAATTTAGACTCCCAGATCCAATTAATGTTATGTCCATTTGAAAAATCAAACTGGCACAAAATCCAGATGTCACTCAGGCTATCAAAGCTGACCAATTATACAACATTTTTTGCAGTAATAAGCCTATACCACATTAAATTTCACCCTTCATTAAGTGTGGTTTAACCAAATCAGAACAAAGCAGAGGTACAAGTTAACAGAAGCCACATTTAGCCATTTTCCATCTCCCAAGTCCCACGACCTGACAATTGAAGATAAATGGCTTTGAGACCTTCTTATGGATTACTGAAAGGATGTCTGACCTTTCAGTTCAATCACCCCCCTGACACTGATGGAAATAATTGTACTAAATGAACAGCAGAGTGTTGTTTAATGCAATTAACTAATGAAGCAGCCTTCTTTGTAGCTAGCAATAGGAACAGATCCCTAAACCAACCTTGCTCTGGGTAATTTTTTTTTTTTTTTTTAAAAAAGCTTTTTATGACTCAAAGAAAGACAATTATCCTTCACCACAAAGGCGGTTATTAGCTTTTAATGTTTTCTTCTAATTCCTTTGTTGACAAGAAAATGGGAAGGAGGAGAAAAGGAATGGAAAGAGAGAGAATCAAGGCCTTGGAAATCATTTGATTGCTTAACCAGTCTGGACAACATTCAATGGA